ATGTTTTTGCCATGCTTTTTGCCTTATTAATAGCGCCATGGTGTTTCTAGAAAGTAATGGTTCCTTTAACAACTAATGATCATTTTAGAAATAGAAGTAACACTTTGCTTTGCTTTCCCTAATAGGATTCAAGAGACACAGAGTGCCGTAGAAACCCCTGTTGTGTATCTCAGTCTCACATGAAGATCATTGTTGGGGTACATGTGTTTAACAGAAGCACCATCACCACCTTTCTATTCCCAAGGAGAGGAAAGGCTGCTGGAAAGAATTCATCACAGTTATTAGGCCACAGGTTAACTTGTGCTCTGAAAGGATCCCGGAGCTCTTAGCTTCTTAAAGAAATGGCCTTCAGAAAGCTCAAGGGCTTGCTTCTGCACCAGGGAGGAACGCTCTGGGGAACAACCCCTGGCTTCAGTGTCAGCTGGGGGCTGCCTGGCTAGGGAGCAGCACTGCTGAGAAGGACTTCAGTGTGGTGGTGAGCAGCAACCTGGGCACCAGACAGAGCCTCCCTGGCAGCCAGGATGGCCAGCAGCATCCGGGGCTGTACCAGCAGCCTCACAGGCAGCAGATCAAGGGCAGCAACAATTTTCTTCTCTACCTGGCATTCATGAGAGTGCACCTAAAATATGGCATCCAGTTCTGGCCCCAGGGCGAGAACAAGGACAGTCAGGTAGGACAAATCCAAGGGAGGGCCAGTGAGGAGACACTGAGGTATCATGGCTTGTTCAGCCTCTGGAAGGGACAACTTCAGGGACCTGACAGCTGACGTTCAGCACCTTTGAGAAGAGATAAGGAGGGAGGTGCACAGCAGAGGGACAATGGCCACAAACTGAAACAGGGATAGAAGGGGAGGGTAACTCCCCATTGGGATAGTCAGGCAGTGGCTCAGGTTGCCAAGAGAGGTTGCACAACCTTGGTCCTTAGAGGATTTCAGGACCTGACTGGACATAGCTCTAAGCAACCTGGTCTGATCTCATTGCTAATCCTGTTTTGGGCAAGAGGTTGGACTGGAAACCTGAGGTCCTTTCTAACTTAAATGGTTTTATAAAAAACCCCAAAGCTACAAAGCAATAAAATCTGCAAGATAGCTACAAAAACAAGTACAAAAAAAAAAAAATCTACCTCTTATCACTGTAGAACTGCAAAGTTTTAGGAAGCACATTTTTTCAGACGCATTGTATAAAACCAAAACCAAACACACCCCTCCTCCATTAGCAACATGTAATATCGAGCCATTATACTAAAATCTCAAGATACCATTACCTGACACTTAAACTTTGTCCTGACCAGTCACTTCAGAGATTAATGCATTTGGGATTCAGAAGAAAGAAATCCTTTCCTTTCTTCTGGCAGGTATTCATAGCAAAGCAAAGAAGGGAGTGTATTATTAAAGCTTAACTGCAATTGAAGCTTTTGAAATAGGATTTTTGCCTGTTTCTTCCAAGAAAATCCCTGCTCCCCTGCTTTACAAACATAAAACCAGACTACATCCAATCCTGTCATCCAGGGAGATTCTTATCCTGTTTACGCTGGCCCAAGTCTGAACAACTCCCCAAGAAAGAAATTCTTCTTGGTCTGCACCATGGGGACAGAGAAATGCACATATTGCTGAACCTCAGCATAAACGACTGTACAAGAAAAACCCCAGTTGAGCGAGGTATTGCTTAAGAAGAATGAAAAAATATCAAAAGGAAGCAGTTAGTGCATAATGCTCTTTGCTGGCACAGGTGGAACCCTCTCAGCTCCTAAATTTACCTGCCCCATAGGTTGGCCAAAGGGGCCTGTCAGACCTGAGCAGGGAAGGCTGCTCTCCACCATCAGCACAAGGACTTCCAAGTCCTCTCAGCTGTATGGGAATATGCATGAAATGTCCAGAGTGCTTACTGTATGTCCCAGCAAAAGGCCAGACAGGGTACTGCCTTCTCACAGGAATGAGAGGAGTCAGAAACCACTTGCAGCTCATACTGCTGCATTAGCTCTTTTAACATTGAAAACCATGGGTCTGGCTAAATTCTTCATAACAGCCTAGGCTGGTGATGACCAACTTGAGAAAGATGTGCAGGATCACGTTCCACATGAGGAAGAGTTTTTAACTAGAAATTCTGGGTGTGTTACAGTTTTTTCATCTGGAAAGACTGTCTATATGGCAACTTAAAGGGCAAGGAGTAAGCTCTGTGCTGAAAACTTACCTCATTCCATGCTTTGAAATGCTACACCCTTGTTTTCAAATTAACTCCCATTCCTGCTTGGGTAATGCAGGTTTAAATACTCCTCCATATACATCTGTATTTTAAAAAGCATTCCAGAATGAAACCCCTCCACCCTGCAAAGGAAAGTGCTTTGGGGAATTTCTAGGAGGATTAGAGCTTTAACAACAACATGTAGAATAAAATATTAAAATCATATAATGCCTTTTCAGAAACCAGCCTTTCAAAAAGTGTCATTTTCTTTAGCAGTTTTGTGGTAAAAAGCTCTGTCCATGAATCTTATCTGCTTTGAAGTCTTAGCACTTTTGCAAAATAGGAAAAATTGAATTTGGAGCATAGGGAATATAATTATACTCCATCATTCAAAATATCATTAAAATAAAAACCACATGCTTTCTTCAGACTTTAAGCTGTAATGGTCATGACCATGAAGGAGATTGTAAAGCACTGTGGTAAAATTCCAGCTTTGCTGAAGCTGACAAGGGTCTCCCATAAGATTTCGCCCTTAGGATTTCACGCCAAGGGCTTGAACCTGGTCTTGTGCTGGTGTAGGTCTTATTTTAACGTTGGAGTGCAATGATGCACAACTCCCCCATTTCAAAGGTAAAAACCCTGGGTGCAAAATTCCTCTTTTCCTCTGCCTCACCCACACAAAAAGCAGCATACAAGTCTTCAGTTAAGTCAACAATAAAGGAATTTTCAATAAGGAGAAAATAAACTTTTGTTCAAGAAGACCAAATTTTACTTCTAGATAATATTTAGCAGCCTGTGATTACAGGAAGTTTATAAAGCTTTTCCTTGCAAAACACAAGGGATAATTAAATGTTTTCCTTCAGGGCAAATATAATATAATTCACTATAACCAAAGTTACAAATGGGACTAATGAAGAATTTTATTATATGTACGGACTACGCTCTTTTCAGGAGGGTGCTGTGTGCCCCCAACATATCCTCTAGACAAGGAAAATGTTCCAGAAACAGACCAAGTATTGATAATGATGAAGAAGGACAATGATCACAAATGACTATGAAAAACAAAGATTAAATACAGTATTTTTACATTGTATATACATTCTAGTAAATGTAAAAATATTAACTTTTAGAAGATTTAATTCTTCCCTTTCTTATAATGTTTCCAGTGTGAATTTTTGGGGTTCCTACTAACAATCAGGGACAGAAAGACAAATAAAGAATAACACTTTGAAAGGAAAATCCCATTGCTCAGTTTTGTTGGTCTGCAAAAAGATGTATTGCACACATTGAAGACAAAGGAAGTCAAAAGAGAAAGCCATGGTTTCTCTCTGGTAGGAAGCAGAAGAAAACCTATGGTGTATTTGCTTGCAACTCCTTGCATACCATCCTGAAGCATGATGTAATAGCAGCTCTTGGCTGCATTTAGAAACAATTGCACCTTCCCTATACCTGAAAAGAAAACTGCAATGAACAGTACCTCATTGCAACATATTGTCATGCCTATGCAGCATCATGTGTCATGCTGTGTAGGCATGCATAGTGATACACTAAAGAACAGTGACACAGGTCAGACATGAGCTGTATTTACCATTTGATTCTTAAAGAAGCAGATTTTAAAACTACTGCTATTTAGTATTATCATATATACTTTATTAAACATTCATATCTTGCTTGCAAATTATGTTTTGCACCATGCCCATAACCCTGTTATTCTGGTTGGATCAGGTCATCTGCCATGGATTGTTATCAAGACCTGCCCAGAAGTAATACAGTTTTGGAAAAGCCTGTTTAGAAGTCTCTCAGGTCATTCCTTCTTGTATCTCATCACTTCTGGTACAGGACTATAGCTACAACCCAAGAGCACCTGTTAAAACAGTACATTGCACTTGGCATATAATTCACATACTCTTTTGCAACGTTGTCGTTATGTTTGATTGTGCCTTGAGTAAATCTCAGCAAGATATTACAAACATTTCAATTTCAGATTTATTCTCAAAGATGTTCTCCTTGGGTAATTCTCATGCACCATAATTTACCATCATTTTTATCAAGGATTAAACTGCAAATGTCCTTGTTGTACCCAAAGAGAATTAAACGTACCAAAAATGCTAACGCCTGTAACATCATCGTCTCTTCTGCCATATTTATGGTCATTCCCTGTCCTGTGACACATGATGGAGTCATTCCCCTGAAAGTTTTGATTGGTGTGCCTGTTTAAATATACACAAAATCCCTGCTTTATGCATGCTCTTTCCTCACCTTTCTGACATCACTGTATTTTTGCTCATGTGTTTTTTAAATCCTGCCTAAAGAGAACACCTTTCTAATTGGGACCTAAATTGTTCAGAAGGCAAAACTGAGAGCTAAAACACAGCAAAAGGATCATCAGTATTTTGCAGTTTAGGAAACATGAGAAAAGGAAAGGAAAGCAGCGAGGCTGCAAGTGCTCTGGTGCCGCAAAGCCCTCTTGGTGTCACCTTGGACTTCCACTGCTTCCTTCCTGCAAACACAATCAGGAATGGTATTTTCAGATTATGGGAATAGGAGAGCTTTTCTCTACCCTAAGTATTGTGCCTAGTCAGTTTATTTGTCCTTCTTAACTTAGTTATAAATGCTGGAGTGAAAGATGATGTCTGACTCACTTCCACAGTAACTGATTGTGGTTACAGTCACATAAGTGTTCATAAGTGTTGTTATGTTATTGATTCAGACAGAAGAAAATTGAAGTAGATAAATAATAGTTAACAATTATGCATGTACCACTATAATCACACTATATACTTGTAAACCCCTTCATTTAAGGAATGATCAAATATGATGGAAGATACATGGAAAGCATATGTGGCAATGTATTTTAGCAGTGACAAGTGTTCCTAGTTGCAAAGTAGTTCAGTATAACATGGACAGACGCTGTAAAAGGTTAATTCAGAATAGAATACTGAACTAGGATCAGAGATCCACCTCCAGTTCTCCCCACCAACAGAAATGTCTTCTGAAAATTTTAACAATTCTCTTCTAATTAGCATTACTTATGAAATTATTTTCTCTAGTCTAAGAAACTCCAGTATTTCCGTAACTTTCCTCAGTTTCTGCCAGGGACATAAGCTCTTCACTGGGTTAGCAGAGATCAAGCCCAAATACCTGATCAAGAATTCAGATGTGATCTTCTAAATCTCAGGACATTTTGTGGGTGTGCAAATAACCAGTTTGGTTATAGGGCTTTGTTAATTCTCTTCCATAATCCAAATTCTCATCCCGATAACAGATTTCCACTTCTAACATTTCAGAAGCATGAATAGTTAGAAATCACTCTTCAGTTCAATTCCTGCAGATGCAGGCAACATTTCTTTTGGTGGTTTCTTTCAACCCACACCACCATGACGTACGCATTTAGCTTTGCTAAGGCAAAATGCCCCAGAAAATGGCATATTCAGGACCCCACAAATACAGCTTCCTTCAGCTACCTGCAGAGCAGAGCCCACTTGAGTATATTATGGTCCTTCCTTGCCCATCCACTGCTATTCATCAACCTCTAGGTCATCCTTATGAAAATCCTTGTGAGACCAATACAGACTGCAGACTGGACCAGGTTAAAGGAGAAAGCCTTGTGTTTGTAGAAAAAAACACAACCAAACCCAAAAGCTGGTTTCACTTTTCTGGTTGCAGAGCATGGCCCCACAAGCAGTTGCTCTGGTTCCTGAATAAGAGAGGAGCAGAGACAGACAACACTCTAATTTGGTGGTCTTGTATTCTAGTTTCATTTTAGTCAGCAGCAAATCTCAGATTTACTTTATCTGATCTAAAGTTTATACACGTTTGCTCCTATTTGTCACTTCAAAAGCTCAGTTTGTCATAACTGGTTCCTACTCTGAGATTCCCCTTAAGCACTTCAAATGCTCTCTGTCTAGACACTACTTCTATGTATCAGGTCAAAATTATTTTCTCAGTTGCGCTCAGGTCTGGGCAGTAACTCCCTCCTGTGTGGTAAACACTACAAAGATCTCTCCCTTCCAAAACTGATAGGGGGATAAAAGGAGGATAAAAGTGGTATTTTCCTCACATAGAAGTAGCCTTCCCCTCTCTTTGTACACCCAAATAAAAATGTTTAAAAATTATTTTTCATTGAAACTCTTCCCACCTCCATTTGCTTTGTTTTCATTTTGACATGTGTTACAAAAAGGAGCAGAAAAACAAGTTTCTGTAATTGGTTGGTTGTTTTGAAATCCATCAAAAGATTTTTCTCCTCAATTTCATATCCAAAATATTTTATGGAAAGGAACATAAAAAGTAATAGAAAGCAATACCAGCTTCTCTTCTCTCCACCAGGAATAATAAAAGGAACAACCCACAACCCCCAAAAGAGGAAATTATGGTCTCTCTACACACACATATACACTGACTCTTTTATCTTCTCCATTAGAAATCTAGGACATTTAAGAGCATGTTACTACCCTATTGGTTTACTTTCATTATTTTATTCATGCTTGCAGAAAATGAAGTCCATTTTCAGGTGGCACTCCATTAGAGCACAAGCATTTTAAGAGCTCATTTGGCAGAACACCTTATCAGAAGCTGCTCCTGTTCATTGGAGTCAGACACAGCATTCCCAGGCACAGCACAACTCTGCTCTGTAAGCAGCTCCTTAAAGAAAGAGTGATTCAACTTTGCCCATTCCTTCTTTCTTCAATAAAACTAACTGAAGGGCTGAAACTTCATGGGTTAGTGTGTGTGTTCAGCCGAGATGAGTGGCTGACTTCCGCCTTCAGCAGCAAGGAGGCAACTCCACCCTCACCCTCACTGATAGCTGCTGACACCAGTAAACAGCCTGGAACACCTTCAAAGTCAGGCTCAGCCTTTACTTCATGGATGCAAATCCTGGGAAACACCATGTGTCCCTGGAATTGCACTAACATCCCACTTTGGATGACGGGATTTAGTGCATGTACATCAATAAAACTATTCTCAAGTTGAATCTTCATTACTGGGCGCAACAGAGGTATATGGGTACACCAGAAGTCAAACAGAGAACCAGCTTGGGCATGATGAAATATAATGAATGCTTCTGTGGGGAGGGGAGGAAAAGGAAATTCTTCGCATGTATACATAACCAGTCATTTGAAAAGGGTTCTTTTAAGGACACCCTGCAAGGGCAGGTTTGGGAGTTTTTTTGATAGCTGCTATGCCACTTCTTTCTTGTCTGGGAAAAGATGAATTGATGCTTTTTGACAAAGTCATACTCACAACTCAGATAATTTCTAGCCAGCCATCACATAGCATGCAACTTAAAACAGTGTAAAAATAAAATAATGTGGAAAGTTTGGAGTCTTTAAGAGCAACCTTTTACGGTTTCAGCTTGAACTTGCTTCTACCAAATACAGTTGGTGCTCGGGGTCTTGCAACAGTGGCAGACTTAGATTTCAGCTCTGGACACTTGAGCCAAAAATAGCTTATTTTCAGGCCAGTTCTTATGGAAGTCTGAGTCTAATGGTAGAGGACACTGCCACTATACCACCATGTAAAGACCATTTGCAGTTATAAGCTTAAGCTATTTTGGATTAGGAAATACTGGACAATACGTACACTGGGCTTACTGGTGTATACATCTGGAAATCAGAACAAGGAAAAAAGATAAGAAAGATCTCTTTATACTGCTGGTTGTTGTCTTACTGCATTTCGGGAGTTCTGCAAGCTGCAGAACTGCAAACCCCATGAGCTGCAAACCTAGCCTTGGTGAGCTTGGTAATTCAAGGGAATATCAGAGCTTGCAGTGTAGGAAAGAGAAGAATCCTAGAACACGAGACATGGAAGGTTAACAGAAGCCAATGAAAAGGCATTTTGGTACCTGAACATTCACTCACACTTTCGTTGCAAACATAAATGGAACAGTTTAGTTGTAGGATACAAGAGGAAGTCCAGAGAAAGGTCTTCTCTGAAAACTTTACTAACAGCAAAGCATTTATTCTAATACATTCAGCATGTCCTTTTGAGACCTATTATCCATATGCATTAAGTTCTTAGTGCTTTAAAACCAAAAGGCTCTCCACGAAGGCCCTGGGTACCTTAAATAATGGAGACTCAGCGCTACCACTGCAGAAGGGCCCACAGAGACAATCTTCTCATGCTTAAGCCAATGTTCTTGGGCACTCTGTAACTTTCATCACTGCTGAATGCAGTCCTGATGGTGTAAGGAAAGCTGGAGACATTTATGGGCAGAAACCTCCTAATTGGAGTTGGAATGGGTTTAAGGTTCCAAACTAATGCAATAAAGAATGGCTAGTACCTTGCTGGCAGCCTCATCCACATCTGCAGTTGTGCAGATCACACGATGGTAGGCATTAATATTCCAGTCTGCCACTGCTCCCTCCCTTAACTTAGCTCTGTTTGCCTCGTGGCATGCTTTAGAAGGTGACATCCTGAAAAGCCTAATGGCATAGGGGAGAACTGGACAATTTGGGCACATGAGAAAGCCCTGGCAGGACAGAGCAGGGAAGCGAGGAAAGATCAGTGTAAGACACACACAGTCTTACCTGCTGGTGAAAGCAGAGAGGGGGCTGCTGTACAGCAAAGGGGGACATGCACTCTGAAAAGGACGATGATTAGACACACAGAAAGTTTGTAGTTTCAAGAAGTACTGCAATAAAAGAATCCTCCCAAGCGCCATGGAATACAGCCTACGGTAACAACAAAGCATGTAACCTTGTAGTTCAAATGCAAAACCAAGTTATGTCAGTTCTTAGTAGGCGACCTCTTAGACGTACTTACACATGCATAACAAGATGAGACAGTTGAGTGCAAAGGAAGAGCCAGCACCAGTGATTTGATATAAAATGACAAGCCTTTTTGAAATAATGCATTTGGTTTAGGTAAGGTTTAGATTAACAGACTTTTAGGGTAAACTGTTGCAGTCCATCTAATCTCACAGACACCACAGAGCTGGGAACCAAGGATTAGATCTAAACATGGTTCTAGATCACTTTTGACAAAACCTGCCAGAAAGCTCTTCTGAGGTGTGCTACTTGAGCAAATACTTCCAGGGTTGTATCAAGGCTCCTCTCAGATCAGACCGCAGCTCCAAGAGGAGGTGGACCATCTTCTTAGAGTTTCACATCCCACCTAGAACCACCATCTACAGCTGGTTATTGACATCTAGAGAATACGTATATGCAACCGGAGAGAAGCATAATGTGCAACTTGAATTCCTCTCGAGGGGAAACAAAAATAGCAGGAGGCAAAAAAAGTAAGTATAAAATAAGGCCGGGCCATGAACAGCACTTTCCAGTTTGGAGGCAACAGAAGTGCAGTCATGAGCAACATTTGAGGTGTGACAGAGAAGGTCAGAGAGGTTAACTGCCATGGAGAAAAACAACAGATGTGAAGCACCAGCTCACAAAATCATGTGAGTTTTGCCACTGATTTCAGTGCAGCCAAGCCTTTGCTCCAGGTTTCTTTAGGGCAAGCTATGGTAATTTCCTTGAGCTGCAAAGGGAAAACTGGAATTTCCTTCCCTCCCTTGAGATATTTTCAAGTTTACTGAATAAAGCACAATGAGGACTTTGCATATGCCATGGTAAATCACAGCCTTTGAGTAAATGCCCCTGCATCTGCTGCAACAGTATTCACACGAGGCTGAACTTCGGCTTGGTAACCTCAGTGGATGTCTTGCTCATGTTGGCAGTCCTCACAGAGTTTGTTCCTGCCGTAGTGTATTATCTGGAAATCTTAAGTCTCTGTTAAAGACTGATTTCCAAACATCTCTTACGACAAATTCACTATGCTGCTCCCCAGATTTGGACAGAAGACGAAGGCAGCATGCTTCATTAGAATGACTAAATGTTACCGAATATGGCACAGGCATTAATATCTAGGATTGCTGCTCTCCCAAGCCCATGTCAAATTTACATTTACATGTTGTAGAAACCCTCAAAACAGAACCCAACAGATGCTACAAAAATGACTGTGCTCATTTCAAGCTTCAACTCCACTCATCTAGAATACAGAGTTCTCCTTCTATGACTGCAAAATAAAGGAATGTTGTGGAAAAGGAAGCAGCATCTATTAGTATAGTCCCACTGCCCTTCTGAAACCCTCTTTGGTGCTGTGCCTCTTCACCCACAGCAAGTATCTTATTTCTTTTCTGCTCACTCTCTTTTGAGAAAGTCAGACACTATGTTCCTATCTCCAACCCAAACGTATTGCCTTTCAGGACAAACTGAAAAGCCCACAACCAGCCTTCCCTCTGTCTCTGAGCTCAGTTCCACTTTGGTCTTCCATGGTCTAAAATAGACTTTCAGCTGGCCCCAGGCAGTGCAATCTCTTTAACAAACCTCCCTCAGAAAAATGTTTCTTGTATAGCTCCCCTGGAGCTTTTTTGCACCAAGGCAGAAAAGGAAAGAATTCCTTCCACATTTTACTTGAGTTCCTAGTTTGGAACCTCTGAAACTACATTAGTATCTGCACCAGCATTTGTCTTTCTTGTACTAGCTCTTCCTGTTGCATACTGAGCATAACATCATATAGTATGGGATATCCCTTTGGCCTGTTTGGGTCACTTTCCTGGCTGTGTCTCCTCCCAGCTTCTTGTGTCTCCCAGCCTTCTCACTGCCAGGGCAGCACAAGAAGCTGAAGAGCCCCTGACCTAGTGTAAGCGCTTGCTTAACCAACAACTAAAACACCAGTGAGTTATCCTAATTCTCATCCTAAATCCAAAACAAGCATTCTACCAGCTACTAGGAAGAAAAGTAACCAGGACAAGGTTTTACATTGCTGCAGGGTTCTTTCCCTTCCCTCTTGCTCTGGCTTGCAGCCAGCTTACTCAGATAATTTCAGTATTACCACCCTTGGGTCAAGGGCTGCAACATGTCTCTCCAGAAAGTTCCACAGAGAAAGCCAAAAGAAACATGCATTGCACAGTCTTGCAACCAGCTTACTTTAGCATATGCCCTCTGACATAAGCCTCTGATCAAATCCTTTGCTTTGGGCTTGCTGAGGTCATTCCTGGCTTGTGAAGTCCCCTGTGAGAGTCAGACACCAGCCTGTTGACATCCTCATGATTCATTTACAAGCACATTCAAATCAATGCAGTTAACATTCAGGTAGCTTGAACTTCTGTAAGGAAGATTATGCAACAGTCAGATTTTTGATGAAACAAAAGAATTATACTCCGCAGAAACCTCAGTTTTGCCATTTCTTTCTCCCTTGGGTTCTTCTCTGCTTTCTCTCCTGTTCTGCATGGTTTCAAAACTCTTACTTATTTCATGGAAATACTCTCACCCTTGACTCCTGCACTCCAGCCTGATGGGTTTTCTGTTTTGCAGAGCCAGCATGGTCCAGGGAGGCAGGCGCTTCCTCTGGCAGTCAGGGAGCCACTGTATTTTCCTTAGTGACTCAATCCAAAGCAAACCACATTGGGTAGGGCTGGCAGTGGAGGCTTTCATATTCACAGCACTGTACAGCCACACTGGTTTTGAGCTCTGCTCTCCAGAGTGAATGACGTGCACAGCAGAAAAGGGAGGTATTGCAAGCCCAAATTTTTATTGTTTCTCTTCTTTTAACATCTTTAACTTCTGAGGACCATTTCCCTGCAGCTCCAGGTTTAAGCCCAAAATCCTACGCTCTCTTCACAGGAAAACCAACAACTGTTTCCTGCTCCTAAATAGCTTGCAAGAGCATGAACATTGCTTTTCCAACATGGACGAATCAGTATTTCCACAGGGAAGGAAAAATCATGGTCTGGTCTATATAAATACTTGGACTAATAGTCAAAGATACCAATCAAAAAATAGCATCCAATTTTTTTCTCAACATGAATGGAATCTAATAGAAATCTCTCTTTCTGCTACCCACAGCTTTCTAACCAGGCACACCACCAAAAGCACAGAACTAGGAGTTCCCACCACCAGTTTCAGCATAATGCGATGATTTTCCTACCATAACATGAATTATCTCACAAAGCACATGATTATCTGTACCCTGTATCTTCTCAGAAGACCTGTGAATTGCTTGTTTGCACTACAGTAAGGGAGAGTAAGTGCTGTTTGGGACTGTTGCCTTGATTGTACCTTTCAATGTGCTGATTTTTTACTTCTTTAGTTAATTTGTTTGTTCAAAACTACTAACCTATGAGGAAAGGTGTTTGCTGGCTACCATTATATTATTTAGTGCAGTGTCTAAGGAGCATCTTACACTGTTGGTAAATATAACGTTGGAGTAACAGCAGCAATCCTGTAATTGAAAAAGTCACAAGGGACAACTATAATAAAAACTGGTAACACAGACCCCTGAATTACCTAAGCTGAATTTCTTCATCTTATAAGGGCTTTGGAAAACACCACAGAAAGAATTTTAAGATGTACTTGGGTTTGAATTTCTCTACACATTGCCCAGAAGTCAACAAAATCACCACCAATGGCTGTGGAAAACCCATGTGATGCAGTCAGGATTATTTTTAACCTGATAATTTCAAACCTCCTCTGTGATTTTTTGGTGCTTGCTGTGTCTCTCATCTGGAATTCATGTAAGTTACAAAATTTGTAAAAGTTACAAATCCCAACCCTTACTTGAGGCTTACAGGTGAACAGGAGATGAATCATGGCCAGAACCATGACCACGTTGCTCTTCTTTGGGAAACAGCTGGCAAGTTAAGAAAAGTATATTTTGTTCTCTAAATATTCTTCTCTGCCTGCTGTTTTCAATTGACACCAGTAACTCAGTGTCAAGTGATGAGTCTGGAAGGTTCATCAGGATGCAGCACTCACACCACAGTTTTTAGGGGAAACAGAAGAAGAAATCAGTCTGTCTCCAGTGAGTATTACTGCTATGCAGTCAACAGCAGGGAGTCGAAGTGTCTGCTTCTTACCTGGAGGCTGAGATAATTGTATCGTGTGATCTTCTAGGCATCTGCCAGCTTGATGAAATAATAACCCAGAGCTGCTCCTGCACCCTTCCATGATCTCACAGGATTAGCTGCCATGCAAGCTCTTGTTTTGACTCATGTGGAAGAGGGTTAGTGCCTGTCACTGTCTTCTCCACCAACCGCAAAGCAAAGGAAAACAAGGTTTCAATGTACCACTCATTAAAGACCGCCAGGTTGTCCTTTCATTTGAGGTTGCAATGTTTGGAGTTAGGAAGTTTTATTGCTATCACGTCAACATGGGAAGCCTTTAGTCTGTGAAATTATTCATCCTCCCAGCATTTCCCCTCCTGGATTTATGTCCTTCAGCCAAGCCAATCTTCCAAGTATTTCACAATGCTGCAATTATCACTGTCTCTTTAGCATCAAAGCAAGCACACAGTGAGGAAGCCTGCGTAGGTAACCGCAGGAATGGCTCAGGAGAGGCAGGAGAGCCAAGTTTGGTGAGCAGTGCTGAGTGACAACACCTCCTGGAGGGGTTCAGCTGCCTTCCCAGCCTGTAGTAAACACATTTTCCCCTCTGGCAGAAAGGAGGAGTCATCAGTAAGTGTTACCTACTCCTGCTGCTATTTGTGAGCCTAATACCAACTTTTAGGTAGCTTCATAATTTACAGAGGGGACTTCATCAGCTTCTACTGCATCCAATAACAGGATGGGGGGCTGGGTACAAAAAAGCAGAAGAAAGCACCACAGCTTCAATTTTTAAAGGTAATTAGGTGATATTTCCCTGGCATTAAGATGCACAAATGTCATTTTCAAGAGTAACTTAGGTCTGTGGACCAGTCTCAATGACGTGCAAGAGGATTTCAGTTGAGTCACAGCCTAAGGTGAACTTCAGCTGTCCACATCACATAGGCCATGTATAAAGTGGAAGGACATGCAATAAATAACCTGTAAAATGTGAGCCTGGGCCCCCATTCATTGCCAGCATTGTTAAACTTAGCAATCTGCATTTTATTTATTTTCTAAGGGATTCACCCCTTTACTCTTTCATAGCAGAAGGAGGCAACCAATGATTAAACCCGATAAAACCTTCAGGCTGTACTTCAGATGCACTGTTGCTAATTATGTGCCGATCTACCAGATACAATTTGTTTCAAAACACAAAGGCAGAGTGGTCTTTTCAAACAGTGAGCCAACTAGTAATAATACGAAGTATTTACTTTGGACCTAAAACTATTTGGAAAGGAAATGTGATTTATCTTTACATATCCTTTAAATATCTTTAAATATCCCTGTTGTTTCCAAAGTCCCCTTCGAAAGCATTCCTTTCTGTGTCTGGATTAAAGGAGAACAGGGTGCATGAGAAATAAGAGCCTCTCAGGCAATCAGATTATTTAACAGAACATAGAAAAGCCCTCAGTAATGTAAGGAGAGCTCAGCAACATGAAAAAAAAAAAAAAAAGCACAAAGCTTTTAAAAAAATGGATGCAGGTAAAAAAATAAAATTACTCCTAAGAACATACAATTATGGCCAAGGCATGCGGTTCACTGTGAAAGAATCTCAAAACTGGTTCGAGAAAGCATCTCACTGAAAAGCTCAGACTGCAGAAAATTTGCTACCTCTGTGAAGGTGTTTGGTCCTTATTTTCAGAGGCACTGCCTTCATGACATTTGAGGTTTCATGGCTCTTCTGCTGCGGATCATGCGTAAGGAGTAAGAACTAAAATGAAATGCCCCCCTCAAATTTCCCATAATGCTATGAAATGTTGGAGAACTGCCCACAGTTTGCCAGTGGAAGCCTGGACCCCCTGACAGCCTTTTGTATGAAACCCCTGCTAAAACAGAGCATAAAAATGCACTCTCTGCAAAAAGCCAGGCCCTGCAAGACACAGGCTGCTGCTGAAGAGGAACACCCCTACCCAAGGGCATGCAACAAGGTATGGGATGGAGCCTATGCAGGGAAACATCCAATGCAGGACTGCAGTGAAGTACGAGAACCGGGTAATATGACACGGCTAAGGTTTTGTATAAAGGCCCAGGTCCTTTTCAAAGCACCCTGTTATTTTAAGCGCATGCCCAAAGTCCTGAATAAAGGCTATAGAGGCAATGATGCAGACCCTGCTAATGGCAGGGACATGAGGAAGAGTTACCATATGCTTCAGAAAGGAGTAATAACCTTATCAGGAAATAGACAGTAAAAGCCAAACAATACCCATAAAACCTGAAACCACCAGACTATAATTTCTTTCCCTGAGAAAGGAACTTCTCATGAATGCTTAGAAGGTTCCATGTATTTTCCCAGCCCCACAAGACCTATTTTCCTATGGCACACAGGCCAAACTATACTAATCAGTCACATAGCTCTGCTCTGGTCCTGAACAAATCTTGGCAAAGCTAATCTGGGAGTGGACTTTCCCATACAGACCCTCCATGTGCAGTTGGCTTCATCTCCGGCCCCCTTGCACTTCTAGGGGTCAGATAAGACCGATTCACAACTTAGATCCAGCTCCAAACATGTCAGTAACTCGAATCAAGTGCATTTTCTGTTAATGATAAACTTCTGGTTATAGGTTGAAGGGTATCGGTGACTGCGTAGACCAGTGCATGAAAGGGAATGTCAGATCCTCAGTGGGAATTGTTGTGAGCAACCCGCTGCTGGGCAAGAAGGGATGGAGACAGCCTAGGATGCCTCTGCCTATATGGGGGTCATTTCTGCAGCTGGCACAAAGGTTCTGGGGAAAGCTTCAGAACAACAAAGATACCAGATTCTTTCTTTGCAAAGAGCATCAGTCTATCACCACCACCTGTGCAAACCCAGGCACAGCTACAGGTTGGACAAAGAAGAGATTCAGAGCAGCCCTGCAGACAAGGACTTGGGGGTGCTGGTTGATGAGAAAATGAACATGAGCCGGCTTCAGTGTGCGCTTGCAGCCCAGAAAGCCAACCGTATCCTGGGCTGCATCAAAAGGAGTGTGACCAGCAGGTCACAGGAGGTGATCCTGCCCCTCTACTCTGCTCTTGTGAGACCTCACCTGGAGTATTGTGTGCAGTTCTGGTGTCCTCAACATAAAAAGGACATGGAACTGTTGGAACAAGTCCAGAGGAGGGCCACGAGGATGATCAGGGGACTGGAGCACCTCCTGTATGAAGACAGGCTGAGGAAGTTGGGGCTGTTCAGCCTGGAGAAGAGAAGGCTGCGTGGAGACCTCATAGCAGCCTTCCAGTATCTGAAGGGGGCCTATAGGGATGCTGGGGAGGGACTCTTCATTAGGGACTGTAGTGACAGGACAAGGGGTAACGGGTTAAAACTTAAACAGGGGAAGTTTAGATTGGATATAAGGAGGAAATTCTTTCCTGTTAGGGTGGTGAGGCAATGGAATGGGTTGCCCAGGGAGGTTGTGAATGCTCCATCCCTGGCAGTGTTCAAGACCAGGTTGAACGAGGCCTTGGGTGATATGGTTTAGTTTGAGGTGTCCCTGCCCATGGCAGGGGGGTTGGAACTAGATGAAGAAAAATTAGTTACGTGGCTGCCCAGCACCTGATGAAAGGTCAGTATTGCTATAATAACCAAGGCTGCATTGTGGACACCAGTTTGTAGGCTCAGAAGGCCTGCGGTGTAGTTTTTATAGGAAGCACCAAATGTTTAGGTGCCTGAAAGGAAAGCAAGCTGTACTGAGCCAAGGAAAGTATGTGGGAGTCAGGAGCTTCGTTGAAATTTACAGCTCATTGGCTTTCAGATCTCTCTTTTGCAAACTGTGGATGAAGTTTCTCTGACTCGTGGAAGTGTTTTGAGAACAAACTAGCAGTTATGAAATACTCTTGAAGTAGAATGATCAGAGTATTATTTTACTGCATTCATCCTGTCACTTCCTGGGAATCTGTCTCATAACAAGATCTCAAAAACTCTCAACAACTGTTTCTTCACATTCACATGGCTGTTCAGAAGGGATGGATATATGAATTCATGCTGGTCAAGAAAGATGGAAGGTTGTAGACAGATCTTCAGCTAGTCAATTAAATAGCCATTATTTCAGGAGAAGATTACGAGGCACCCATTTTCCTCTATTATTTTAATTCATGTCCCAGACTGAGTCTGCTGACAGCATTACAGCACAGGCACACAGGGAAGTAAAACTGTCCTCTGAATGTTCCTGGGAACAGATTGCTGAAGCAGCATGAACCAATGAAACAAACAACAAAGAAAAATACATGAGTGACTTACCCACAGAAGATTTCCCTGGGTTCTCACATGGGCATTTCAATTAGAGAGAAAATTAGTGGCCTGGGGTATCTGAGATGGTTGTCCACCCTTTAGGTTCAACCAGATGCCATACATCATCTGTCGGAACCACAGATGGGCTTTCTAGGAATATAGATGGTGTCTAAAGGAGCTGTTGGAATGGAACTGAAGCTAACAACAACAACAACAAAAGATAAATACTGCAGTTACAAAACAAAATCCTAGAGGAAATACCAACCACCTACTACTGTCTGAAAGAAATGGGCAAAACTCGCTCATCTGATGCGAATGCCTTGTAGCTAATGCTTCTTGAATTTTTGCAGTCAGACAATGTACCTAAAGATAAGGCTTTTTCCTCTCCCATGTACATAGCTAATTAAAAATAGTCATGGTGCCATGGGACATCTGTAACAAGCCTTGTGTGGAAGCTCTGTATTCCACTGGTAATTACAATTATTCTCCCATTGCAACCACTAAATTTCCCTTAATCAGCCATTTATTTTCTCAGTTGTCAGGGTTCTGGCTAAAAACACAGGAACTATTCAACTTCCATCCTCCTCTTTCACACTGTGGTACACAAGAAACATCTACATATTCTTCTGGTTTTATAAGGCATTTTATTCCTTTAACTTGGAGCAGATTTGCTCCAATAATGTATACATTCAAGGCAAAATCCAGCTCCTTTAGGATGGCAGGCTTCAAATGCAAAATAACTCTGCTTCTTTCTTTCCCCCATAGTTACGTCTGTCCCTTCAAAGTGCTGTTAGACAAAACCCCGAGCTGAAAATATCCAGATCCCATAGTCAAACACAGGGTTGGACCTTCAGCCCATGTAAGAACTAGGCAGTTTCACATGAATTTCACAGTAACAATAATTGGCATCACTCTGCTTTTGAGGGACTTCCTTTGAAACAGATTTTGCAGACAGTTCCAAATTTGGCATCAGTGCAAGCCCACAGAATTCTTTAGAAATAGCCTTATTTACTATGCCTCATGGAGAAAAAAAAAAAAAAGCCTGTGACTCTGGAAATCCAGTCACTTGCAGGCA